ATCCTTATAAACGGCCTTTATATTGGCGTCGGTTAACTTTAGTTTCCCTTTTTCCCGATTTTGTTACTTCAACCATCACTGTGCCATTTTTACATTGAACCTTTTATCTTTCCCCCCTACAGGGTGGTGCTGGTGAGAAGGGAGAACAGGGACCTTCTGGAGCTCCTGGATTCCAGGTTTGGATCCATCATCTGACTCTATATAAACAATTTAGAGCAAATTTACTGAGGAAAGATTCACCTTCCAGGGTTGCTTTCATGGATTCAGTACATTGTTTTATGGCCCTTCAGGCTGATGCTGTGATTTCTTGTTGGTTTCTAGTTTTATTAACACTAGAATAGCCCGTGCCTCAGGTATACTTTTTAGATAGTATTGCTGGTATAAACGGCCCCATTGAGTCCATTGGTTCTGATGATGCGGCTTGATATTTTCAGGGTCTGCCTGGCCCCGCTGGAGCTGCTGGAGAGGCTGGAAAGCCCGGAGACAGAGTAAGTAACACAAACCCACACTGAGTTTCTCCCATGTCATACGGTCAAACTACAGAAATGGTAGAATAAGTACATCTCTAACCCACCATTCTTGTCTCTGTAGGGTATCCCAGGAGACCAGGGAGTTGCTGGACCTGCTGGTGGCAAGGTGAGTCCACCTGTCCATGCCTTCTTTCTGGGTATATTTGCATCAAATGAAGCAAGACCCATTATATTCTCGTAGCCCCACAAGTTTTTCAATTCTTAAGATGCCAAAACCATTCAAATAGATTTGAACAGAAAAATGTTTCCAAACATACACCGTCACATTGTGGCAGGTTACATTTGCATGTATATAATAAAACATATATAAACTAGAGTGGCCAAAGACACTGACGTCCTCTGTGTGTATCTCCAGGGAGAGCGTGGTAACCCTGGTGCTGCCGGAGCTGGTGGATCTCAGGGATCAATGGGACCCCGTGGACCCGCTGGTGCCCCTGGAGCTGATGGTGGCAAGGTATGATGATGCAATGGTGGCAAAAAGAAAAATGCTGTAAGATATGTCAATGCCAAGCTAATATATGAGATCATGTTTTAGGCAAAAATTAACCATAGTTTGCCATGTCCGTTTCCAGGGAGAGCCTGGTGCTGCTGGAGCTGCTGGTGGTCCTGGACACCAGGGACCTGGTGGCATGCCCGGTGAGCGTGGAGCTGCTGGTCCCCCTGGAGGCAAGGGAGAGAAGGTAAGTTCCAAAATTCACCACCTGCAAGTAAAGCAGGATTTAATACCTTAAAATAACTCAAAGTTGTTAATGAGAATGTATTCTTTCTATCTTTATCTCCCTCTCTGTCCTATAGGGAGAGCCTGGACACAGAGGACCTGATGGTAATGCTGGCAGAGACGGTGCCCGTGTAAGTTAAACCCTTCAATTCTCTTTAAGGGAACCGATATAAAAGTTGTAGCCATTCACTCCATTAGTTTGAGTGTAGCAACCAGAGCCTTAGTCTTAGTGTCCTCTCCTCTCTCTTTGTAGGGTATGCCTGGACCCGCTGGACCTCCTGGACCCACTGGAGCCAATGGTGATAAGGTAAATAGCTAATGTATTGATATTATTTACCACAAAAAAATAAACTATTAGAATGACATGTTTAGGATGTACACTGTAACACAGATTAATTAATGATATGGAGCTTTGTTATTTATGACCTAAAAATGGCTGCCTCCAACATTATTCAAGATGGCTGACAAACTGTTATACCAGTGACCTACGATAAAAAACCATCAAGACATGTTGAAATCAAATCACTGTCAGAAATTCTCTCTCGGTTGACCAACCACAGTCCATATCTTTGGACATGCCACTCCTCTGTTGGGGAAAATTGCAATTACCCCCACTTTAGCATTGTATCTGACGGTACAACCTCAACACTGCCACCTGGTGATATTTTATAATATTACACCAATGGCTCCACTACCCAAATGTTCTAGGACTTTTATCCATGAAGGCTAAACCATTTTGCACTGCCATATGCAATTTAGAAATGTCCTTTCGGCATTTGCAGCACAAATTACTATTTCACTTTTATACATTCAAATTTTTTTCAGCCTTTATGCAGAAAACTGGAGGCAGAAATACAAGCAAAAATAATGATACTACATTTGTATCACATGGCATAGTAAAGAAAAACTAGTGGATTACATTTTGTAGCATTCACATTCACGGATAAAGCCTTAAAGTTTATTACCTGACCCAAACAGATTTTTAATAATCAGACTGCAAAACTTTTTTCTATATTCTACTGCTATTAGTATATCTACAAATGTATGTTGTTTTTGACAAAATATTTATTGTGTGTATGAATTTAAGCATGGCTGGAACAATGCTAAGCTAATGAAGAACTCACTTTTCTCTCCTCCAGGGTGAGAGTGGTTCCTTTGGACCTTCTGGACCCGCTGGACCTCGTGGAACCCCTGTAAGTAGTGTTGAATTTCCCTAGTGTGGGATCAATAAAGTCTTAAGTAGCTGTGGCTGACTTCCTTGATTATAACAAATATCACCCGTTTTACCACATCCACCTTAAATGAACTATTGACATAAATATCAGATGAAGACCTTAAGACAACATACATCTTCTACGTACAATACAAACAGTCTTTCTAACCGACTGCTCATTGTCCACAGGGAGAGCGTGGAGAGGTTGGACCAACTGGATCTTCCGGATTCGCTGGACCCCCTGTAAGCAATTCATGCAAATCACCTTGTGCAATACAATCAACACAAAACCTGTCCAAGCAGCAGGATATCATTATTACATAAATCAACACACACACACACACACACACACACACACACACACACACACACACACACACACACACACACACACACACACACACACAAACACACAATTGCCCATATATTGACCAAGCACTGTTACTCTTTCTCCTCAGGGCGCTGATGGTCAGCCTGGAGCAAGAGGAGAGCGTGGACCTTCCGGAGTAAAGGGAGAACTTGGCCCCGCTGGCCCTGCTGGACCCGCTGGACAGTCTGGACCTGCTGTTAGTACTATAAGACATATTTCAGATTGTACTGGCTTTATATTCAGATTATAGTAAATCCAATTGGGATAAAATTGTAGTCTATACCTTCAGATGAAATATGAGTAATATAGAATGGTGTCTGACGACTTTGTCTTTATATCTAGGGTCCTTCTGGTGCTGCTGGACCTACTGGTGCTCGTGGAGATACCGGGCCTTCTGTGAGTATTAAAACATAAAAAATTATTCCTCCGGATTCCACTTATTGCCTCTGTAAGCATGTAAGATCCATAAAAACACAGCATCATACATTAACACAAATGTATTCACTGTTGCACCAACATGTACCTGCCACACTCACTTCACTCACTTCAGCACTTTGAAATCAAGGAAAGGCTAATAAAGAATGTAATAAATAGAAATTAAAATAAAAAATTTAAATCAGAAATAGCTTTCTGTTACCCTTTATTTTACCATGAATTTTACCTGCAGCTCGAGCTACAAACTAGTAGATTTGGTGCTCTTTTAGGTTTTTAAAGCTGTTAGCCGTACTCCTCATTACAAAGCCATCTTTTTTGAAATGTCAAAATTTCAATGTATCAAAATGGAACATTCTGTTCTTTAATTTATTTCTTTCGCCTGTGTTTCATGGCCAGCAAATACCCTCATCTTATCTCTAATGTCCACTTACACACACAACCAGATAATGCCATACACTCTTGATGGCCACTGTTTAACCTTGGATTGTGTGTATTTCTGATGTCAGGGTCTGACTGGTTTCCCTGGTGCTGCTGGCAGAGTTGGTGCTGCTGGTCCCGCTGTGAGTATTGATTTTATATTTACAATCATTAGCAAACACACACACACGCACTGAACACACTGGATTACACAGTTTCAAATACTGCTTCTATCACTATCATACATACATACCCTCACTGCCCACTCCCCCATAGCTTTACCACTTAACCATAGTTTTTTTTATATCTGTATTTATTTATTTCACGTAATTGCTGCTGTGACAAGGGAATTTCCCCGTTGTGGGATAATAAAGTAATACAAACAAACAAAGAAAAAATACACACATACTTTTACTCATCTTCTCTCTCCCTTTTGCCCTCTCAGGGTATTGTTGGACCCCCTGGTTCCGCTGGTCCCGCTGGTAAGGATGGTCCTCGTGGACTCCGTGGTGATCCTGGTCCCGCTGGTCCTTCTGGAGAGCAGGGTATGGTTGGACCACCTGGTCCACCTGGAGATAAGGGACCATCTGGAGAGTCTGGTCCCCCTGTAAGTTGTAGCTCTTTTTTAAGGCAAAATTGTGAGTCTATGTATCACTCCAATTTTGAAAACAGCACAAATAAATATAATATCCTCAGTGAACCGATATGCGGTCTGTATGTTTAGGGTGCTCCTGGTGCTCCTGGAACTGGTGGCCCTATTGGACTGCTGGGATTCGTTGGTCTGCCTGGTGCTAGAGGAGATCGTGGTACACCTGGTGGTGTTGGTGGTGTGGTAAGTACAAATGAATACTGTTAGTGCCTGCAGAGGATTCATCTGTGACCACCTCAGCTTCATTTTTATCAGCCTGAAGATAAAGGCTTTACTTCTTCTCCAACATGATGGAACAGTCCCAAATGTATATTGGCAGTTCAATTTTATTAGTTCAAACTATGAATACACAACTAGGAAATTTAATTATATAGATATTGAGATTTCAATTTACATGGAGATTCAAAAGATTCAAAACATCACACAAACTATTTTCAGTTGCCATGCCCATTTTGTAGGATAGTTTGAATTAACATGTGCACCACTGGTAACAAAAAGACCTGCTAGAAGGTCAAACGTGCATTTTATCACATGCACTGTATGAAGCCTTTGACTGTATTTGACCCAGGGATTTTTCTCTGCATCCTATCACAGGGAGAGCCTGGTAGAGTTGGACCTGCTGGTCCCCCTGGAGCCCGTGGTCCCGCTGGAAACATTGGCCTGCCTGGTATGACTGGACCTCAGGGAGAGGCTGGACGTGAGGTAAGGTTTGAACAGGCCAATTACAAGCACTGCAATGACCTGTTAAGGGTGATGGAGAGAGTATCAAAATATTACAATTAGAAGTATTGTTGTTTGACTGACTGTGAATATAAGTATGTTTTCTTGGTTTACTCAGTATAGTAGATGTAAATTTGAAGACTATCACATGGACTCACAACAACCTGACACAATTGCCTAAAAATTGGATATAACAGAAACCTTTAAATAAAATGTAATTTTTAAGTAACTTTATTTTCCATCTATAGGGTAACACCGGTAACGATGGACCCCCTGGTCGTCCTGGTGCTCCTGGCTTCAAGGTAATGACCTTTGATACACCTTAAATCAAGTTTGCATGCAGAATACACACACATATACTGTGGTCTGACCTGCATCTGCCTTTTTTCACCATTCTTTAGGGAGACCGTGGTGAGCCCGGATCTCCTGGTGCCATGGGACTTGCTGGTGCCCCCGGCCCTGCCGGACCCAGTGGAGCTGCTGGTAGACCTGGAAACCGTGGAGAGTCTGTAAGTATAAACTGTAACTCATTAAATAATTAACTACGAGATTTTCATCACTCAAATATTATTTCCAAGTTGCATCATCTACTTGTTCCACTCATCCTTTTACTCTTGTCTTTCCTTGTCTCTAGGGCCCAGGAGGTCCCGCTGGACCTGTTGGAGCCGCTGGAGCTAGAGGTGCCGCTGTAAGTATAATAAACCTATTATACTGTATCCTATTCTAGCAACATGATGGTTCTGGTTCTGTGTTCATTATGTGTGTTTGCGTGTGTTAAAGGGACCTGCTGGACCCCGTGGTGAGAAGGGAGGTGCTGGAGACAAGGGAGAGAGAGGCATGAAGGGTCTGCGTGGACATCCTGGTCTCCAGGGAATGCCTGGACCTTCTGTAAGTGACAGCACACTATCATAACAGACACAAAATATGTAAATATACAGCTGCATGTGCTGATATCAAAGGAAAATGATGTAAACACTGTATGTATAGAATGTCTTATTAATGACTAGTTTCACTAAATGATGCACTTTTCCTTCCCTCAGGGACCCTCCGGTGACACTGGAGCTGCTGGACCTAACGGACCCGCTGGACCCAGAGTGAGTGGAATCTAAATAACCCACAAAACACCAGTAGTTTACTTGTTCCATCTATATTCAGAGAGGCACCATGTCTTGAATCCATCTTTCACATAAACAAGTAATTAGCAGAAATATAAAAACCACGGCGGAGAGAGTATCAAGGATTGTTCATTATAACATGATGAACAACATTCAGCGCTCATGTAACATTTCTAAAGGTGACAGGTGACATTGGATTTTGTTATGTGATGCAGGATTTCCAAAACAAAAGACAAATGACTGTGTCATGTGCTAATCTTTTCTTCAGGGACCTGCTGGACCCCACGGACCCGCTGGTAAGGATGGCAGAGCTGGTAGCCATGGTACCATCGGTTCTCCCGGTGCCCGTGGACCCCCTGGATACGTTGGACCTGCTGTAAGCACATCTATATTGTCTTGATTTGCTCCAATACAGAATTTGTTGACAGTTCAGCTCCATTAGGATCCTCTGCAAAGGATCCAACTGCAACTGTGAATTATGTATCAATCCACTCTCTTACTCATATCAGGGTCCACCTGGAGCTCCTGGTCTGCCCGGACCTCCCGGCCCCGCTGGTGGTGGATATGATGTCTCTGGATACGATGAGTACAGAGCCGATCAGCCTGCTCTGAGAGCCAAGGACTACGAGGTCGATGCCACCATCAAGTCCCTCAACACTCAGATCGAGAACCTGCTCACCCCTGAGGGATCCAGGAAGAACCCTGCCCGTACCTGCCGTGACATCAGGCTCAGCCACCCCGAATGGACCAGTGGTAAGCTCAGCTTTTACTGATAAATGGAAAAGATACATCCCTACATTTAGTGCAGTTTAGATGTCTATATATATATGCAGTAAGAGTAAAACACTCTCCGTCCATCAGTTTGACTCTTTTTTTCCTGCCATGTAGGATTCTACTGGATTGACCCCAACCAGGGCTGCATCAATGATGCCATCAAGGTCTTCTGCGACTTCTCCACCCGCGAGACCTGCATCTACGCCCACCCTGAGAGCATCGCCCAGAAGAACTGGTACAGAAGCACCGAGAGCAAGAAGCACGTCTGGTTCGGAGAGACCATCAACGGTGGTACTGAGGTGAGCATTTACACAGAGAAGACATATTTTACTTCACTGTACAGTACACAAGACCAGGAAATGACAAAAGTTATTTTTTCTATATTTTAAATATTGACTGTCCGTCTTTCCTGCATGCAGTTTACCTACAACGATGAGACCCTCAGCCCCCAGAGCATGGCCACCCAGCTGGCCTTCATGCGCCTGCTGTCTAACCAGGCTAGCCAGAACATCACCTACCACTGCAAGAACAGCGTTGCCTACATGGATGGTGAGAGCGGCAACCTGAAGAAGGCTATGGTGCTCCAGGGCTCCAACGATGTGGAGCTGAGAGCCGAGGGCAACAGCCGCTTCACTTTCTCCGTGCTGGAGGATGGCTGCACTGTGAGTAGCTTCTTCAGTTGTTTTCTTTGGTTGTTGTCTTCATTGCTTGTTTATAAACTGATTAAATGAATGCATTTTTGTATTGTTTTGCCACTTTTCTAACTATTCTCCTTTTCTGTCCTTACACCTGCAGAGACACACTGGTGAGTGGAGCAAGACAGTGATTGAGTACAGAACAAATAAACCATCTCGCCTGCCCATCCTCGACATTGCACCTTTGGACATTGGTGGAGCTGAACAGGAGTTTGGTTTGGACATTGGCCCAGTCTGTTTCAAATAAATAGACTCATGATAAATTAACACCAAAAAAGAGAGAAAGAACGAAAAAACAAAATCTCTGCCCTTCTTTCTGTGTTGTTTTTTTATACTGAATGCTGATTTCTCTCTGCGCATCCACTTGCTTAAGATGGGCAACTATCTGAGAGGACTGAACGGACTGAACGGAGCGTTTGTGCAATGCAAATTAATACAGCAACCCAAAGGGACGCGGGAAAACACCTTGTTGTGGGACATCATGTCATCCTTTTGTAAAAAATAAAAAGAAGTGTAATAAAAACGCTGAAAGTATGCATCACTTTGTGGTCTTTGTATATCTTCCAAAGAGGAGGTTTAAAACCACAATTTCCATGAAAAAAAGGTTTAAACTACCTCATGCCTGTACCTAAAGAAAATACTATTGACAAAACCTGGGTCCACAACAGAGATGTTAAGACTTCTAATGCTTCAAGCTTTGTCCTGTATCGGAAGGTGCTCAGTTACTTGAAGCGGAGATCTATGGTGCTAATATGCAGCTGTGGAGCAAACCACTTTCTTACTGTATTACTTTGTATTGACCTTTGAGGAGTCTTGCATTCGTCCCCTGATGCTACCCCACTTTAAGCAGGTGGAATGTTCCTTAACCTGATGTCTGGTTTTTTGTTTTGTTTAATTTCTATTTGTTCTTTTTTTTTTTTTTTGTCTAGAAGGTTTTTTTTTTGTTTTGGTTTTTTGTTCAGGCTTTTTTTACTCTTCAATCCCCACACAGAGTGTTCATACTGACAGCACATATTTCATCCAATTCTGAATGGTTTTTAGGCGGCCTCTCTCTCTCTCAAAAATGACACCACAAAGTCTATTGTACCTATTTTGTATATGTGAGATGTTTAAATAAATTGTGAAAAGTTCTGAAATAAAGCATGTCCAATGTTCCAAAACACACTACTCAGTGACTTAAGTGCTTTCATGTTTTAATGACACTATTGAAGCTGTGTCACTGTATTTTGGTTCTAGTTTGGTTGATGATGTACATGTCATCACTAACTTAAACATCTTCCTCTTATGGAAGCACAGTCATATCCCCATTTACCACCCCCTTTTCTTGCTTTTCAACAGTACATCCAATTTTAATGTACAGTAAATTTCTGTTGACACTGTCCATGCCAATGTGTGATTACTAACGTGCATTGTTTCTTGTAAATATGCATCCTCTGATGTTGCTTTTCCTTGCATAATACAGCTTTTGCATCCAAATAAATTTCTGTGATTTGGATCGAGGCTCGAATTGCAATGATGCATGCACACCAATATGAGTTAGATTCAATATGGCAGAAATCATGTGTTTTGTCATTTTGTCAGAGGCTGAAAGTCAGTGAGTTCAGTGTGTTGAGGGAACTGGGATATGCAAGCTTTCTATCTCCATATGTAGAAGCAGCTCTGTTAGTTGCAGTTGAATGCATCAAAGGTCACTTGCAGCACTTTCGATAATCTCTAGAGGGCAGTATGGCATGTTTTTATTAGCATCCCTAATTTAGCCTTAGGGGCAGTTACATAAACACATTATCTTTGACCACTGAGCAACAATGACTCGGATGCCTTGGACACAAGATGCATCTTTTGTTCTACAGTATCTAATGTGCAAAACGTATTATATTAAAACCACAGATTGAACCTTTAATTCTAGGCACGCTCTTTATTTTACATTAAAATGGCACACCTAAAGTAACATTTTTGTTGATGTTGATGTGTGGAATAGTTTTCAACAGTGGTGGTGGAACATAGCAAAGCACATTTACTCACGTACTGTACTTAAGTACAATTTTGAGATACTTTTACATCACATTTCATGCTACCTAATACCTGTACTTCACTACTTTTCAGAGCCTGAAGTTTTTTTTCTTTTCTACTATTGGTCTGACAGCTAGAGTTACTAGTTGCTTAACAGGTTCAGGATTTTACATTCAGAACATGTAATAAATGCATCTTTATTTAGGGATATGCACCATATGAGCATAGTATAAACTAAAGTTAAGTCTTACAATTTTAATTTAACACAAAGATATGGCAATAATGCAGGACTCACCTTAGTGGCACAAAATCCAAGACAAATTTCCAATTAATCAAACTGCATATACAACCAGCTAACCGAAAGGGGAACCTGGGGCCTTGGAGTCACTTTGGGGTCTACCTGGCAGATAGACCTTGTAACAAGAGTAATTGAGTATTTTTTTTAAACTTCTTTTTAGGGTCTGAGTACTGTACTGTGCTCCTTTAACAACACCTTTGACTCAATTGACTGATTTATTACAGGTCCTGTTGGTGATGAGCAGGTAGCCTGCACACTTTTTAAAAGATTATTTTGGGGGATTTTTATTTACTTTATTTGATGGAGAAGAAGAAGAGTGTCAGGAAGGTGGAGAGAGACAGAGAGAGAGAGGGGATGACAATGTGAGCAAAGGGCTGAGGAATTGAACCCAGGCCACTGTGGTACAGACTCAGCCATGGTTCCATGTGAGCTACTGGGGTTGCCTGTACCCTATAGGCTTGCTTGGACATCTTCAGTCACAAAATTAAACTGTTTGCACAATAGAATGGTAATTATTACTTCCATTCATCTTTAAAATAATTTTAGCACATCTAAAATAATAGTTGTGGGAAAAGGATGCTGTTGTCTGGCGAATGTAATAGCAGAGTGCAAAGTGAAGTACCAGACTTTGGCTTTTTGTCAAATTATGGGATTTGACTCTCTCTCACACACACACACACACACACACACACACACACACACAGAGAGAGAGAGAGAGAGAGAGAGAGAGAGAGAGAGAGAGAGAGAGGATTGCATATATTGGAATAGGAAAACAAAGTGCAAGCAACTCCTTGGATAAACTAATAATTCAGCACATCACACTTCGAAGTCATTTAAACACAATAGAGTAGATTATATGACCTTTAGCAGCCTCTGTTGGTGGATAGTAGGAACTACATCCAATATTTATTTACAAAACTTACATACCTTATGCCATTGACAGTATATATAATGCTTTATGCACAATTTCTTGGTACGCAACACTTCCTCCAACATAACGTTGATCAGTTCCAAATGAGGGAAAATGATTTAAAACAACAATTAATTAGAAAAAAGTGATACTGATAAGTCAGGTTAATAGACATTATTTTAAGACTGAATGGAAAGTCAGTAAAAAAAAAAACTACATTATAAATATTAATTAATAATTAACTACATTCCTTGTTCCCTTCTTTGTTGGTCATGCCAACCAGCTCTCTGAGGACTTTTGCTCTCTCAAAGATCAATACAATGACCAATGACGGCTGGTGGAGATGTTGGGTGGGTGGGCTAACAAATGCATTACACATATCAATACGTCCCACAGCAGCAACAGTAGCATCACATCAAGTTACAGGAACACTATATACTTTGTTATAGCAAGGGCTCTACGGCAACACTGGGGAGACAAACCCAAAAGAATGACCCGATGCCGAAAAAGAATCTCTCTCTCTCTCTCTCTCTCTCTCTCTCTCTCTCTCTCCTCCTCTGTACACATCAGCACATGCCAATTGCGCTACAACAACATTACAGAAAAGTACCAGCAACAATTTGCAACACCATAAATCTACAAAACCAAAGCAAAAATAATTATTAGTAGAAGAGAGAGTTGTCTCAGAGCTTGGGCACACCTTATTTAAAACGCCGCTCACATCGACGGCCTTTCTGTGACGCAAACAGGTTAATCACCACGTCACACGTGGAGTTTGAAAATTTGACAATTTTTCCACTGACACATTATCAGAGCGCCGCATCCTGCAGCTGTGTCCGCATCTGGATGTGGCTGGTTGTCGTCTGTGGTCAGCAGTTCAGATATGAAGCACGAAACATTCTCCAGGGCCTGTCTCGTTTTGAGAGAATCTGTGGTCGTAGACGTGTACTTGGCAACCTGTGTGTTTGACAGGTGATCGGATGATTGACTGTCTAAAAAAAAACAAACATGGGAAACAGAAAAGTGAATTCCTAGCTACACTTGCTGTTAGCCAGTCCGTTAGCTGAAACCACGTAACACAAAACTACGATTTTGTCGTTTGTCCTTTTGTGTTATTTGTACATCATTTGGATGATGTGTTCCCAGTCTCTGTATTTCTATTTTGTCCTCCAAAGACTTTAAAGAAAATTGATTAGAAGGTAAATAATCCACCTCGTTCATGTTCATGCGTAACGCGCGCCATACTACTAGCATCACTGTACTGTAGCTACTGCGCTGTGATTGGTCGAAGGTCACTGTGTAGCTACTGCGCTGTGATTGGTCGAAGGTCACTGTACTGTAACTACTGCGCTGTGATTGGTCGAAGGTCACTGTACTGTAACTACTGCGCTGTGATTGGTTGAAGGTCACTGTACTGTAACTACTGCGCTGTGATTGGTCGAAGGTCACTGTACTGTAACTACTGCGCTGTGATTGGTCGAAGGTCACTCAGGACGCCTGTCAATCAAAAGTCAATGGAAGCGTACGCTACTGTGCTCGGGCTGAATAAATTTAGCCCATTCACAGGAAAAAACCCAACATATATCATATATCCTGGGTTTTTTCTGTTTTCGGTGCTGTTGCTGTTCTAGGTTCTACCAAAATTCAAAACAATATGTTCTAAGGTTTTTAATAATAGTTTTTCATCTTTACTGTAAAAGATAGGGGGGCTGTTAGCCCTGTTAGCCCATAATACCAGCCGTCCCTGACAATGACAACGCAATAATATCATACCATATCCAAATTAGGGTTAGCCCAAACCATTGACAGTACATATGTACCTGTTCTTCTTTACAGAAGTCTTCCTTGTCTTCTTTCAGTTTTAAAAGTCTCGCTGTCACTCTGCAGCTGCGGAGTAGCATATGAATCTCTACCATGAGGCCAATGAACTGCCTGCCTCACTTTACTGTCTCTTGATCGCTGAGCACACGAAACAGCTTACACACACATATATTATATACACCAGCTAAACTATGGAAAGTCAGGGGGGCATACATTGTTTGAAACATTTGATTGGCAACATACAGAGAGACAGTAACAGCTCTCATTGCATGGCAGAGCGCAGTTTGCGCCTCACCTTGAAATGTGCGTCTCTTCCCCCTATCTGAACCGGAAATGCGAAGATTCAGCGATTTTTTATTTTAATTTTAAATTTTAATTAATTTTTTGAGGTAAATGGACAATGTTTATAGTTCAAACTATTTGGTAAATATAACCATTTAATTTATTTGTTTTTTATTATATATTTTATTTTTGATGACAGGTGAGGCAGCCTCTCCTGACCGCACGTCACTGCCCCCCCCCCACATTAACAAACATACAGTAAATCATGAGGAATTAAATTATCCACAGGTATGAGCTGTGAGTACACTTGTCAGAAGGGCACCAAACTTTCTTTTTCTTTTTTTTTATTATACTTCCTAATAACAATGTGGTGGACCTGAGACAGTGTGAATCTTATTTTTGATCCGCACCTGCTTTGACACCGCGGTGATGCAGATGGAGGAGGCGGTGTCGCATGGAGGAGCGGACGGAGCAGATGGTGCACCCGGACAAGCGCCGCTGCAAGACTGCACAGGTGCTTGTTGTCATGGAGGAGCAAAGATGGCGGTCCTGGCCTATAGCCTGGGCAAACGCGAAATAAATCAACATTTCACCATAAAAAATGCCAAATTGATATCGCTGGTTGTCGTTTTCCTGCTCCTCGTGTTTCACACAGCTTCGCGGTACTATGGAGGTAAGTGGTCTCGTTTATTTAAGTAACTATTGATGCACCAGTGAAGCACTTAACACCAGCTATTGCTAATGTTAGCCAGCTTGCTAGCTGTTTGTGCCTGTGTCGGTGCAGTGCTGTTATCCAGTGTGGCTTTTTTTAAAGGGGTTGAGACGTGCTGGTTGCAAACATTAGACAATGCAGATAGATGACTGCGTATGTAGTTAGACTGAAGTCATGCATTGGTAACTTGGCTTCACGGAATTTAAATCGGTATTTAACTGGCTAGTTTAGAAAGCTAACACTGCATTTAGCTGTGTTTACATGCTCCTGTCAGGACACGCTTGATTACTGGTTGGGAAGCCGTGTGTTGGCTGATGTAGCTAACAATTGACCGAACAAGGTTTATAGTTTTAGGAGGTCATATGCTATTTAAATCGCCAGCACTAACTATTCCGTTTATTATTTTAAAAGGATAAATGGCAATAAACCAATATAGCTTGTTAGAAATGTGATGTGCTAATAACCAACCAACTGCAGGCTGTGAACAGGGTTGTAGCAGCATGCTTTCTGTCTCTGGTCATTAATACATTTGCATTGGTTTGTTTGGAAAATATTTGCTTGCTGCATAGAAAACGGCGCACACTTGATACACTCCTTTCCAGGTATAAAGGGTTGGATCTCAGCTTGTCCCACACTTAAGACAGATGACAGCGATGGCACAAAGCCCAGAGTTTGACTACAAAGACATATTAGGATCCACCTCCCAGCTGAGTTGCATAAAGTGGACTTTGTCCCTGAAAGGGTGTAGGAACCAGAGACCTCTATAGACACACTAAGAGCAGCTGCTTTGGCTGGCGATGACACTACATGCCCACGTCTCTCGCCAGCTCGCCGACCCTTCATGTTGACCTGTTTCTATGAATTGATTCAGTTGCAGATGGCTCCATTCATTTCGCACACAAATGAATAGCTGGAGAGATTTATGGTAGAGCTAAATTGCTGATGGCTTTATTTTGCACCATGGCCCCTAGCAGAGCCCCGTATTGTACACAAGTCTTTTGACAGCACTGAATGAAAAGCCAGGGTTCTATTGAGTCAACAGGTTTCAGTCATAGTCACAAAGAAACTATGAGTGAAAGCAAGAGCAGTGTTTTGTTTGGGTTTACTGGTACACTTGAATTTCCCTTGGGATACATAAAGTATCTATCTATCTATCTATCTATCTATCTCTGTGTCTTGCCTCCAGGCGGAGACTCATGTGAATGGCTGCTATCCAGAGGACGATACTTGGGGGAGAATGTATGGCAGCCTTATGGCTGCATGATGCACAAATACAAAAGCATGTGAGTCCCACTAACTGTGCAAGGTCACTATATGTACAGTATGTCTGAGACGAAGATTCAAGAGTGTTGCAGTGATAACTGAGGTGTATATATGTCTGTCTGTGAGGGTGAGATGATGGGTAATTTGTGAGCCAATTGAGAAGATGCTATCACAGGGGCAGACTATGTGTAATAAGATCTACTTTTGATTAGGTTATAGAATGCAACCACCCAGCACATGAATGATTGCAATCTGCAGTTGTTAGGATGTACGCTTTTCAGATTGCTAACCCTCATCTTTGTCTTACAGTGAAGCCAAAACCTGCCTTGCTGAAAAGCGGGTGGCCTTTGTTGGTGATTCACGAATCAGGCAACTATTTTACTCCTTCATCAAAGTTATTGACCCTGAGCGAAGAGAAGATGGAAATAAGGTAATAATGAGAAAACAGCACCATGTGAACTCAGGGTTATTCTTTGGAAATTATTCAGCAAAGAGGTAGGGAGACATAAACCAAAAGTGCAGACATTGTCAGATATTCCTGAATTTACCCTCCGCTCACATGTCCTGAACGGTCTTTAAAAGTATCTGTTCAAATGAGTGGACCTAAGATGATTATAAAAATATGTCTTCCTGTTTTTAAATCTACCTTATCCAATCATATATAGCAAGCCACTATATTCTGACCGATCCATTCAAGACTCCTACCAAAGACGTGCTTGAAAGAGCAGATAGAGAGAGGGGTAGAGCTGCATTTGTTGCTCACAACAGCTTTGGGGCAGGGCTGCTTGTTTCTTCCTGTAAGAACAATTGCTTCCTCACTCACTTCCCCAGTTTATTAGAAATGCAGATATTGCCTCAAACATTTTCTGACTGGGCAAAACTTAGACCAGTTTTCTTCTTACCTGCTTAATGTAGGCATGGCTAATCATTTACTGCCATGTACATTGCTGGAACATGAAAATATTTCACCATTTGTGAACAATTGGCTGCTACTTTCTTCCTCGAAAGCCTGACACTTTAGCATCAACCTTAATGTAAGAAATAGCGCCACTGATAATTTTTTTTCTACAAAGTGTCTAGATTAGATTTCATCAAAGTGCAAAAAATGTACAAAAACGTATCGACAAAAGAACACAGCAGTGAAATGCATGGCAATTAAGCAGCAGTCGTAACTATTTTTGGTCTGATCTCAAGCAGGAAAAAACAGGAGCACTATTTTCCTAACAGGTTTTCTCTCTGTCTGTCCCCATGTAATGTCTGAAGCACGAGGACATTTCCTTTGAAGATGAGAGTTCCTCTCTTAATGTGGTAAGCTATTTCTGGATGTGTTTTTATCTCCTGTTCTCAGTCTGTAAAAACATACTCTCATAAAAAACATGTAAAAACATCTTTGTGTGTAGGACTTCTTGTGGTATCCAGAGGCAAATAATTCAATGAAAGAGCGCTTGATATCATGGACACACGTGAGTACAGATGTTGAATTCTGTTTTTAACAAGGGGGAGCATTGTTAATTGAGGAACAAATTGTCACGTGGTCTGGACATGGATTTGCTTTTCTAATTGCCTCTTCTATCATGTGCTGCAGGAAGCTTCAGCAAAGCCAGATGTTGTCATCCTTGGAGCTGCCACAGTAAGCTGTTTAAATCAGTGCTTAGCAATGCTTGCACATTTCATGATAGACAAACACAAGGTGGTGGCTGAGTGATGTCAATCTTAAACTTATCCATTAATCTATTTACCACAGTGGTCCATCAAGTTGCACAGTGGCAGCAGCGAGACCCTGCAGCAGTACAAAGTCAACCTGACAGCCCTTGCTGTGCACCTGGAGAAGCTGGCTGACCATGGAGAGGTCTACTGGGTCCTGCAAGGTAAGTTTAGTTTCAAGCTTTTCCAATATAAACAATAAAAGAGTTCTTCAGGGCATTTTAAGTGCTACGGTTTCATCACTAAATCCCAATTTCCCAAGTAGTGCTTTTGGTTAAAAAGTTCACATTACTGGTAATTTCACTCATTTGATTGCAGAATTTTGTGATTATTAACTTCTCATATGTGAACCCTCTAAACTAAATCTCCTTTCCTGTTCTGTCTGCACCACAAACCGTCACACCTCTGTCCTCTAGATCCAGTAAATGAGGAGGTGTTGAGTGACAACAGGAAAATGATCACCAACCAACAGCTTGAACTGTACAATGAGGCAGCGGTGGACGTGCTCAACAGCAGCAAGCGTAACAGCAGGTCTCGGGTCAAGCTGTTGGCCGCGTCCCGCCAGGCCGCAATGGAAACTATCACCCAGTCAGACGACGGCTTGCACCTGCCTGAGAGCACCAGGAATGTGGTAGGCAGGATTACCAATAATTCAAGATTACTTGAGTCAGTAATTAGACTGTTTTATTCAATGGTCTGAGTTCAGTGTTTTTGGCAGCACATTTCTTGCATTTCAGCTTACTCACATCTTTTCACAATCCGCCTCTCAGGGAGCTATGATCCTCATGAACTCGGTGTGCAACAAGCTGCTGAGGCCTATTGACGGTTCCTGCTGCCAGACAGTACCACCCCCAAACCTTCTCCAGAAACTGTCGGCATGTTTCTTCCTGGGCTCAGCCGCAGTCTTCCTGGTCCTCCACGTCCTTGGCAACAACCGCCACCGCCGACCAGTGCCCCCGGACGTGGAGAGCCTGGAGGAGAAGAAGCCAGCGACTGCAGCTGTCCCCCTTGGTCCAAAGGCACCCTTCCAGGCCCTCTGCAGGATGGGTGTCATCATGGGCTATTTTTACCTTTGTGACAGAGCAGATGTTTTCATGAAAGAGCAGAAGTTCTACACACACTCCACGTTCTTTATCCCTCTCATCTATATATTTGTCCTGGGAGTGTTCTACAGTGAGAACAGCAAGGAGGTGAGATGGTGTTGTTCAGTGCGATATGCTTTATTTTGGGGAAGTTTAAACAACACAGTCTTATTTCAGCATAATATTGAGTCGTGTCAAAAAGATATGGGCTTCTGAATTTTTTTGTCTGCATATTTAACATAATCATGGATGTCTTTATGTGTGAGGGTAGTTTGAAATTATAGTTTCCCTCAGAGTTTGACAAATTGCATGCAAAAACATAAGAAAGGCATCCTTTAAGTAAGTGGAAAACATATAGTAGTAACATTTTTGGATTAACATTACTGTTGGTAATCATGTACCAAGTTTAACTAATGTTTGTGATATCTGAGGTACAGTTCAACATGTTCTTTTTTTTTTTTTTTTTTTTTTAATCTTCCAAACAGACCAAATTACTCAACCGAGAGCAAACAGATGAGTGGAAAGGCTGGATGCAGTTGGTTATCCTTATCTATCACATATCTGGAGCCAGTGCTGTGAGTCCTTTATATCTCCTGCTTTGAGTCAGTGTAAACTAATACTTAATTTAATGACATAACATTAATTCTTCTGTGTTTCAGTTCATTCCAGTGTACATGCATGTGCGGGTGCTAGTTGCAGCATACCTTTTCCAGACTGGCTATGGACATTTTTCCTTTTTCTGGCTCAAAGGAGACTTTGGACTGTATAGAGTGTGCCAGGTGAGGGTACAGCCAGTTATACTTTAACCAGGAATTACTCATTATACTTATAGGCATGTCACAATACCGAAGATGTTGTAGTCGATACCAATACCAGTGAAATTTCATGATTCTCGATACCATGTTAAAAAACAAAAACAAAGCAATAAATGTTAAGTACAACACATACTCCTTTTATTAAAAACATTTTAACATTACAAAAAATAAAAACACACACCTACTGTGATCTGTGTCTCTCTCTTTCTCTCACCCAAACACGTACCGGTGGCCCAACCTGTTTCTCTCTCCGTATGTGTCTCTGTTCACTTTCTTCAGCAGTAAGTTTTATAAAGTTGCCCAAAAAGCACAACTTACATTTAAGATCTTCTGCAAAGCATGTGCGACAGTCACTAGACTATACAGGAGGTTCTCGTCAGGTCGGAAAGAATTGATTCCCCGGTACCTACGGCACCGTAGAAAAACGAGTGCCATCACATTTTCAGAACGAAGTATTGGTTCTCTCTCTTGTACTTTGGCATGAATTACCATCATATTACAACAAAACAATTACAGGTATTTGGTTTGGACTTACTGAATCTGGTGTGTTATTATCAGTGTGATGCTATTATTGATTAATCTGTGTATGTTTCTATGTTTTCATATTCATTCCACTCCAGGTGCTTTTCCGTCTGAACTTCCTGGTCTTGGTGCTGTGTGTGGTAATGAACAGACCCTACCAGTTCTATTACTTTGTCCCATTGGTAACCTTCTGGTTTGTCGTAATCTACGGCACGTTGGCCATGTGGCCTCAGATCCTTCAGAAGAAGGCCAACAGTAGGTGTCATAATTGATTAGAAACTTTATTTGTTTCACTCACCTTTTGGAAAAAGTCCTGTGTGAATCAATCAATACACACAATTAGTTCTACACAATAAATGTGATCTAATGGCCGTCTTGTTCTCTGAGCAGATAGTGGCATGTGGCACCTTGGGGTCTTGACGAAGTTACTGGGCCTCCTGCTGTTTATCTGCTTCTTTGCATTTTCACAGGTGGGTGAATTCAACTGTAACATCACTTTAGTTTTGAGAAGATAAAAATTAAATTCAGTTAAATTAAACATGTTTTATATTGATTCATGCATAAATAAATGCTCATGTCATCATTTGTCTTCAAACAGCAAAGATTGAAAGAAAATGTAAAATGCAAAATTAATAAATATGCATTCAAATTGTGAATTTGAAGTCAATTTATATAAAACAACACAATTTGCCATGATGGTTTGGTCCTTGTCTGAAGCCCTGCTTATGTAATATTCATGTTTTGGCCTTTGTGACTCCAGGGTTTCTTTGAGAGTATCTTCTCTGTGTGGCCCATCTCCAAGCTCTTTGAGCTGAACGGAAGCATACACGAGTGGTGGTTCAGATGGAAGCTGGACCGATTTGTAAGTCAAATGTGTTTTGCTGCACTTGCACGCATGCAATGTGCATTAACACATTCTTTGAAATGCGATACTGTATGTGGCAGAGTAGATCAAAAGCTTTTTTTAAGTGCAGCCAAATTTTGCAAACTTTGTAAAATATTTTTTTCATTTGATAATGTCCTTTTGCAGGCGGTGATACACGGAATGTTATTTGCCTTCATCTATCTGGTGCTGCAGAAGCGCCAGGTGCTCTCAGAGGGCAAAGGAGAGGCTCTCTTCTCTGCCAAGATTTCCAACCTGCTCCTCTTCCTCTCTGTCGTCTCCTTCATAGTAAGACTCTCAGACATGTTTTGCTCATACCAATACTTGGGATTGCTGTCATTGCCTTGCAACACCAGCTTAGGAGATAATAGTTAGGAGTGGGTACTTACCTTGCCACACCTTGTAGCTTCCTTGGCAACCACAGTGTTTGCTCCTAATGCTCTTGTATACATCTTGAGAAAGTTCTTGTTTGTATTGAGAAAGGTCTCCAGAGTAAAATGTAAACGCAGTATAGTGACAATCTATTAATCTCAGATGGATAATGCCTACCAGGTGGTAAATGTATATTGTGTAGCACTGCAGAAACGTTCTGTTCTTTGTTGCCTCCTCCAAAGCAGCTGGGGATCATAGTAACTGCTTTGGTCAATGTCTAATCAAACCAAGTCAACCACCTGCATGTTTTTGTTGCAGCTTAAGATTAGAACCTGTTATCTAACTTCTCATTTTCCTCCATTATTGTAGACTTACTCAATATGGGCTAGCAGCTGCAAAACCAAAACAGAGTGCAACGAGATGCATCCTTACATCTCTGTGGTCCAGGTACATTTTTTTATGTCCTTCTTCTTTTACTTTTTTACTTTTCTTTCATTCTCCTGTGGTTATACAGCTAACAAGTCTTCTCATGAGTCAGCTTGACATAAACAGTTGATCCTCAAACTTTGTAATTTGTTTGAAATGGTTTTATAGTTAACTGCCCAACTGTAATTCCTTTGCATTTGCCTTGAGATGACATTAGCCTAGTTACATGATAGTAACTTATATATAACTTACATAATATTCTTTCATGACCAAATAATACTGGTATCGCGTAGAACCAGTCCCCACTAGGAAGTGGGAAGTAGTACAATAGATAAGGTCGTAAACAACATATTTAAGCTTTTCCTGCCTAAACTGGCCTGGAGTGCACAATTCTTCATTCCTCCCCTAAAAAATGTCTTCACCTTCTTTGTCCACAGATTTTGGCCTTCATTCTAATCAGGAACATTCCTGGCTACGCCCGCTCTATATATAGCTCATTCTTTTCTTGGTTTGGAAAGATCTCTCTGGAGGTAAGATGGACCTGGCAGTGGAGTTAAAATAATATAATAAAAAGTTTATTTACACAGCGCACAATAAAATTCTGTGATTACTAAATACTTTGCAAAGGGTACCATAAAACAAGACATATGAGTTATCAGTAAAACCTGAGATGAGGTAACAGTAATAAAATGTGAATGCAATAAAGCACCAGGAATAAGAATATGATCTCTGACAGTGAGCACAAAGCAATTGATAATCCATACCAGCTCAGCATGTGATGTTCTGTAGCTCCTTGGAGGCAACCAACTTTAAAAGGGAATAAGTACACATTACATACGACTGAACATGCTTTGTTTTGTCTCCCCCAGCTGTTCATATGCCAGTACCACATCTGGCTGGCAGCAGACACCAAGGGAATTTTGGTCTTGATCCCAGGAAACCCTTCACTCAACATCATGGTCAGCACCTTTATCTTCGTCTGTGTGGCTCATGAGATTTCTCTCATCACCAATGACCTGGCACAAGTGGTTATCCCCAAAGACAGCATGGCCCTGCTGAAGAGACTGGGGGCCATGGGGCTCTTCAGTCTGGTAGTATTGCTGCTAGCTAGGGGCAGCCAGCCCACACCCGGCGCCTGATGGATACCTCTTGATGGAGCAGGCCCCGTGTTTTAGTCTGCTGGTGGTCACAGGAGACAACCTCAGTTGTGTTTGTAGAGCAACAACACAAGGACACATGGGAGAACAGTGTCTCGCTGCTGGCCATGTTTGAGCAGAGTCTGTACTTTTTTGACTGCTGTGAAAGTCGCACACTGAAGAAAATAAAAATGCCCAAAGGAGGGAGGGGGGGGGGCTCTCTCCTTTCTGGGCAAAGTGCAAATTTTAAGAGATGATAAAAAAAACAAAGAACAAAACACTCAAACGTTTACATTATTTGGATTCAACAGAAAAGGAAAGGAAACATTTGGAGATGTGGAAAAAGAGGTCCTCTCATTTCATTCATGCTTGCTATGTGAATTTTTGCAGCATTGCTTCTATTTAGCCAAACACACTAATAAGAAGTTTGTTTTGTCACATAGAGTACTTCCTGTCATTGCTTCACTCTGGAAGGGATCAGTAGGCACACACTCCGTCCACATGGCAGCAGCAGTTGAAGGTGTTTTCATAACCTACATATTCAGATATCTAAATTCGAGTAAAAATTTGGAGTGCAATTGTTAAAATGTTGGATTATCCCTTGACATATTTTTGCTAATGTTTTTGTGAATAATTTTAGAAATGTATGCCTTGTGCTGAAAGGTACCGTGGTCACCTGCTGTAGCGCTGAAATTCTATGTGATATGTACAGTATTTAATGATTTAAATTAAGCTTATATTTTATACAGGTTTTTTTTTTTTTTATTTTGTACATGGCGCTCATGACTGCTGTTTGTGAAGGAAGTATTACATAGTTTTGTACCCATCCCAGCATCTCCTATGATTACCTGCCTCAGAGACACATTGCAGAGGTTGAGCCTTTACAGTGTGACACCCGTCTGTCCTACTAGCTCACTTCATAGGCTGTGTATATTTGTATGATAGAGTGTGAGACTTTATTTTATATAGCAATGCTTCAGCAGTGCTTTTAGGTCCTTTATCCTTCAATTGCCGTAAAAAACATGCCTCATAACTCTGGTGGAAAATGCACTGGCTTGCACATATTGTACAATAGGACAGACAGCTAAATATACATCGTCTCCTCGCTGCCACCGCCAGTGAACGTTTTGGTCAGTGAGTGAGTGACTGAATAAGTGATTTCTTAAGATTGAATGCCTTTGAACATACAGCTTTTCTCATTGGCTCATACATGCAGTACATCGTCTGTGATGTAGCCTGGGATCACACTCTTCTGTCTGTCAGGCACTTCGCATCAGAACCACTTCAACATTTAAAGACAACTGCTACGTAATGCAGTGACTCACCTGAGAAGACATAATACTGTTGTTTATAGGAAAATATTGTATATTTTGTCACTTGACAAGTGGGTGATGTGTCTTTGCCTATATATCCTCAGACTTTTAAGAGAGATTAGCACTTTTGTTGTAAGACCTGAATTTTTTTTTTTTTTTTTTCTTCAATCTTTGCAGTGAAATACAATGTTAAACATGCGTTTAACACGGTACCAGTGCAGATGCTTTCTGCACTTTAGCACATTTTTATTGGGTAAATCAAATGTTTTGTCAAGGTCATTTGGCAGATACAAAAAAGAATGATAATGTAACATCCTATCTGTTTTGGATATGAATTTTGAGTTGCATAATTCATCTATGGGGTAGTAAATGTTTGCGGTGTCAGTTGTTTTTCACACATTTATGTAGCTTCTCTTTAAAAGAAAAACATGGGTCCACAAAGAATAGTCTTTTTCATTACAGTGGAATAATTTTTCCACACCTATCAAAGCTTCTCCTGTTATTTATCTGATGATGTGCAGTTCAGGTTGTTTCCTCAAACCGAGTAAGAGCCAAGTAAATTTGTAATTTCTATTACCTGTCATCTCCTCATTGTATAGAGGAAAATGGCATTTCCATGTTGCAATTTTTCATCAATGTGTGAAGTTTACTGATCTGTTCTCTTGTCTATTACTGATCAACAGCTATAAATTTGGTCATTTGTTTCAGGCCTTAATAGATCTTTTTGGTCGTGTAAAAGCAACAACTATTTATACCCCTGTGCAGGGCCTCTTTGAAATATGTTACATGTAAATTTTTTTGTGATGTCATAAAAATGTGAAATGTATCCATATTATTTATAAATGCCTTTATTCTGTTGTACATTGTTAATAATACCTTCATAAAATGTGCTGGTTTGGCTTGTTTTTGTTTGGACAGAAACATTCAGACATTCATTCAGATAACTCTACTAGAGGTACTTACAGTAAATGCAAATTACTTTGAAAGAATTTATTGTTATCATGTGACACATAACATTATTAATAACACATGACAACTAAAGCATTCCCATGTAAAACTCCCCTTTTCTCTAAGCGGTCCATTGTGGAAAGCAAGTAAAAATACAAACATAGTTTGAACATTTACACAAATATTTCAAAATATTCTAATTTATTATAATATATATAATCAGCTAAGCTTTTTTGTTCTCTTCCACACTCTCACTGTTCAAGGTGTAAGTGCATATGGATGATAAATCTTTGTAAAGACACCTCTGAGGCATGCAGATTGGCACAAATGTTAGAAAAAGCAAAACTATAGATATGAAATCTGCTCCAACACTGGTGTCTCTGGTCACAAGTTCAGTGCTTCGGCCACCTTTCTCTCCTCAGGAATACCATTTACCTGAAATAAATAGGAAAAAGATTATATGCAACTTTATTGGAGCATGCGTTTTGAAGTTTTGACATGCGGTTAGTAATTTTAAGCATAAAAGAATAATAACAGCATGAATTATCTCTACGTGAACTCATAAACAGACTGCAGCACCTACCTCCAGCCTCCGAAAGGTTGACATGACATAACTATCTCCTTTGTTAGCAGTGAACAGAGAGAGCAGCAGGTTAGTGCAGCTGAACACCATGCACACAGGAGGGCGCTCACACACTGACACCAGATAGTGTTGAGACACCATCAGACAAGAAGTAAAGCTCTCATGCCTGATTTCTAGCAGTGCCATGGCAAAATGATCTACCCTCAATAATCTGTGTCCAATTGAGTCTGGATGCTTGTATTTTTACAGCCATGTAGGAGGGAGATAGTGTAAGGACAGACTGAGGTTGTGAGAAAAATAACTGTGACTCCGCAACATTTTAATTCATTCATTCATTATTGTCTGTATTGAGTCATTTTATTCAATGTAAAAAGATGAAAGAACACCCACCAGAAGAACGAGTAAATGCTTAAATGTTGCTCTACTCCACATCTACTCCAGTAACAAAAGCCTGTGCAAGCATCTTTATTTGTTATTTATTAATTAAATAAAATAGTCACATCGCATATTGTCGCAGATGGAGTAAGGTAGAGTACGAAAACAAAGGCTGACTAACCTGATGGCCGTTGCTGTGGTATCGTAATCTGGTTTTGCAGATTCCTGGAATTATAAACAATGATATTATGGTAAGCAGACATTCACAGACATTACAAGAGCCTTTAGTATCACGAGAAAGCTTGTTGTACTTATATAAGCACATTTTTATGAGTTTCAAGCACATTAGGGAAAATCATGGGACAGCTTGAACCTCTTAAGCTGTAGTCGTATTTTCCAAAGGCCTGACTTTGGCATGTTAGAAGCACTGAAAACAAGATTAAACGATAATGGTGGTGTTTCAACTTATATTTCCCCGTATTGACGCCTATAAGCCATACATCTGCGTTCCTGCTAATGAGCATGGCTGCTCGGTGCATTTTATGTGCCTGTCTGCGTTTCCCCCCGCACCCGATACTAAATAATCTTTCAACTCACGTCTGTGTCTGCATGAGGGGCATGCTGGTGGTCTCGTAGTTGTCAGGGTGTATGGGCGGCACCACCTCGCCGCTCACTGGATTGAAGACGGGCAGGGTGGACAGGGGCCATGATATCTCCCGGTTCTTAGACATGCTCCGCAGCTCCTTGCTGGACTTCTGGATGGAGCTGTGGTGAACCAGCTGGATGCTGGAGGGGAGAGGCAGCCATGTTAACACGTATGAGCTTGTGTTGTTGTCATGGTTGGTGGTGTTAATTTTGGCTCATCCCATATGCAATGCTTTACTTGCTGAAACAGATTTAAAAATACTCGAATATGCGATATCAATTCGTATCTGCTTTGGTGAGCTGCGTACCCGTTTCATGCAAGCACAGAAATATAACATCCACCCTTACCTATCCCTGTGACTTCGTCTGACTTATGGTGCAAGATATGTTCTTCGAGATTTACGTACGATTTAAGCAATTTGTTACTGCTACAGCCTTAATAACCTGCCACTGATTTTTTGAGCAGCCCATTGGATGAATGGATGTCAACACATAGATGAGCATATAAATGGTTATGAGGAAGCTGTCAATGACAACAAAGATGACAAAACTGCAAACCAAAGAGAGAGGGGGAGGGGACAGAAACAGACCCAAAATAAAGAAAAACACAGGAGAGGAAAAACACTTACTCTGGTGTTTGCATGTTTCTTTTTTCCCTAGAAACAAAACAAAATGGATGAATTAAATACTAATATTAATAGTTCAACAGACATCTACACACAAGTGAATGGATTTTTGGGTAAAGACAGGAGTGGAAATGGTGATGGGACATAGAACACTGAGTGAACGAGGGGGCACGTCTCTCCCAGCCTGTAAATGATGGAGAATGATGAAAGGATTTGTCGAGGATAAATGGCTATCGGTGTCACGGCTACGCTTCCAAAACATCAAGATGTACATGATGAAATTAACAAAAGCTGTGACAGATAATCATGGGCGAACTTAATGTAAATGGGGTGTACAACTGGTAATGGTAATGACAAGCTGCAATTCCAGTCCAGATTAGTGCTCCTATTTTAAATATCCTGCACTCTCCATTTTATCTTTTCTCTCCATTTGGGTTCTCACATACTTAAGTAACAGTTTCTGTGCTTTCCTCAAATGTTTTGTCGGGGTGTTTGGTGCAATATTTGCATAAAAAATGTAAGACCGAGCACACTTACACCCCTTCCCGTCTGCAGCACATAGAGTAGCCGAGGATGAAGAAGAGGACTAGTGCCACAGCAGAGGGAACGGCCAGTGTGATAAGGAAGTCTGAAAAGTAGTCTCTAGTCTTCAGTGACTCAGAAGGGGGGTCGTATTCCCCAAATTCAGGCAGGATCCCAGTGCCCGGGTCGGGACGGGTAATGTATACTGGGACCACTCTGTTGATGTCGACCTAAAGAAATAATTAAGAGTTAATTCATCATTTGTGAACGATACGGCAGGTTGCCTGAACTGAAAAAGATGGGTCAGTTGCTTAAGGCTAGCGTACTTGTTCCCCTCTTGCCTCAGTATTAAAGAATCTGATAATTTCAATTCAAGGAAATCTGTACAAGACAATCCTCACCAGAGAAATCTTGCACCAATCAATGTGAAACTGAGCTCGGAATTTCTTGTCACAGCTGATGACAGGTTCCATCTCCTGACTGCAGCGCAGCTGGTTATGTGGGCTTTCCACCTCCCGCAGGCACGACGAGAAGGGAACATCAGCACCGACCATCACATACACTCTAGAGAGAGGACACAAAGCGACGCACACAATGCATGAGAGAGGAGAGGAGAAGATGGAGCCTCATTCACGTGTTTATGCTGAAGCTTGTTATATTCAGAGCATTTCTCCTCCACTGAGTGTTCTCCTAGACGCTTTCATCTTCCAAAACGTCAGCATGAATCTTTGATGCACAACTTATGGCAGTTCATGTGGGATATTCCCCCCTGAAATAGACTAACTGACAGTGTCTGTCAGTGCTGACGGCCATGTGTACTCATCTAATTCACAGTGAGCTGTGGATCCCCAAGGCTCCAATTAAATAAAATGTCAGCATGGTGTGAGTGGGCTGATAATATAAGCAATTTGCTTGATTGAGGGAGGTGAAGTGCTTGCTCATGGAGAGAATCTTTAAGATTGTTAAACCTCATGCTTATAAGTTATCCAGAGAAATTGTACCTAAATCACAACCTGCACACTTTATTTTTTTAAATACAAAATCAATGCAAAGTACTTTAAAATGAAAGAAAACCAAACCACAATCTAGCTGTAACTGGGTCATGTCATAATTACAACTTATGTGATACAAGTCTAGCCAAACATTTCAAAATCTTCACCCTTCCTTGAGGTTGTTTATGGGCAGGGGCACGCGGCCGCCACGGTCCAGTGCTGAGGTGATGTTGATGGCATTGAGGCGCTCAGGCTGCCATATGTTCTTCACTGCTCCCAGGAAGTCCCCCAGCACCTCACTGGCCAGCATCTCTTCCACATTCATGTTTTTGATGTAAAACTCAGCCTGATAGGGCAGAGGGAACTCTGTGCACAGGGATGAAGAACAGAGAGTTGGAGGAAAAAGGTGAATGGCAGTAAGACAAGGGAGAGAGAGAGAGGACAGGAGGGCAGCTGCAGTGGTGCTCTGCTGACTAAGACATCATTAATACTTTATTACTGCTGCATAGATGACACTGATTTCACCAGTCTGTCCAGCAGACGCTGGCGTGTCTGCTCTGCTCTGTTATGACTCGGCTTCTTTCTCAGGGCCAGATGGCAAATGACATCACAGCATAGGGAGAGTAATGTTGTGTTAGCGCCGCCAACATCTGCTGAGCGTTCAACCAACTTGGTTCATATTGTATTGCATGTACCGTGACTGGTCAACAAGCCTCTGTGCAAACATACAGCTGCACAGATGTGAGGTGTAGTCACAAAGGATTAGAAGAAATGGCTGCTTCCTATATATATACCGTACTACTTATAGATATATCGTAATAATTTATACAGCAGCCACAATACACCAGACTGATTTATGATGAATAACCTGAGATACTTGATACATGAAAGATGAGAGCCTGACTGTATAATAATTCATCAGTTTATTTAAAGACTATTACTACAATAACTGAAAGTCATCAGCAGATAGGGTTTCATATATGAACACGTGGCTGTCAGTATGTTGTCTTTAGAAAGGACTGATTGGTTCTCAATGACAAAAACAATCAAAGGCAACATTTTCACTTCAAGTACTCAATGTGGCCTCAGGATTTAATCAGGGATGTTGCACAGTCTGATCTCTGTTTGCTCTAAGCTCTCATACTGGCACCTCTTACCTTCCGTGGCCATGATGTTTATGACCAAGTTGTGCCGTGCCGTCTCGAAAGTGCGTCTGTTATAGGCAGTAATCTGCAACACACAGGGGTGAAAGTTTAAGCCCAGATCAGTGCAGCTTATATGGCAGCAGCCCTCTGGACAAGGCTGAGCTAGATACACTACGCAGGCTCTGTACCCAATCGAGACACTGTATAGAGGCACATGTGCGCCGCTGGGAACGTTAAGCCTTTTGGGAAAAGAATTTCTACAGTAGCTTATGGGGGACAAAGAAAGCATAAAAAACATAATGGAATTTAACTCTGAAGACTCGAGCGTAACATTTCTAAATGCAGACAAATGCCGCCGTGCTCAGTAAAATCGATTCAAACCTCTGATTACCTTTATGTGTGCCTTGGCAAAGACTACTAAGTATCTGATATTGGTCTTCCATTATAAAAACCTGAAAAGGTCAGATTCTTTTATTTTCATCTGTTTCAACACTTTTAGCACAAAAGCTAAACTGTAAAATTAATTTCCTTTCCATGACACATTAAGCAGAAGCACAAATCTTCCTTCTCTTCACTTTAAAGGTGATCCATCCAACCACCCACCTCTATGACGGTGGCCTTGCCAACATGCTCTGCAGTGGGGGAGCCGTAGAGCACGCCATCGCTGTGCGGGGTCCTCTGGATGTAGCGCAGCCAGCCCGGCCTGTCGGGGTAGCCCATCAGGTTGGTATTGAAAGTGATCGGGTCATTGCCGGCATCACCTGTAGGCAGAGCCGTTTAATGAGGGGTGACCCAATGATCTGTTATGGGTCAGAACCAATTCAGTAATGTACATTTAGACCCATTAGCTGAATTGTGGACGTGTTGCCAGCAGCAGCTAAGCATTTTCTACTAGTGAAATATGATGAATGGACAATGCACTGCTCCATTTATACAATGACTGTGCCAAAAACTGCCTGTATAAATGTTTTAGAGATTTGGATAATCAAATATTTCAACACTATTAATCACTACAAAACAGGGCAGTAAATATGAATGTCACCTGATTTTGGGTAGGGAGGAAACTCTCCTTTGAAGTACTCTCTCTCCAGAACATGGACGAATAGCACTCCCGCGGATGGGTAGACGTTACGGTCTGCGTGCGATCTCGACAAGATGGTGACCACTGAAACAGAGATTTCAGACAAAAAGGAAATTAGCTCCAGAAAGCAGAACATCTGCTTTTTTTCCTGTGTTTAGTTCATTAATGGCATACCAGCAACACTAATTAAAAAAGAAGAGAGGGCGTTAATAGAGGTGAAAACAAAGCGAACGTCTGGGTTACTTCTTAACCTATTTCACACTTTGAGAATCGGTACTTTTCACAATGATAGATGTGTCTACTATTCTTGCCTGGCTTCTGCATTCTTGTGGGGGTAAATACATTCGCTTCACACAAGGGTGTAGTGCAGGAAGAGTCAAGCATGAAGGGGAAATTATTAGCTACCGGACATACTATGATTTTGTTTAGGCCAATAGGAAAAGCAAGCTGCTAAACCACAACAATAAATTTCAGAGGCACGGAGCTGAGTTACTGCGAGTAAAAGTAGCAGTAATGACCGTTATTCAGACTGTACAGAGTTGTTTTCATGCCCTCCTCCCATTCTGTCTCCAATATGCTCTCCGTTTAGCCCCGCTCCAATCTCACAAACAAATATTTAGCCTTTATTTGTGAAGGGCATAGGAAGGGCTAGGAAAATGGCAGCCCCTTCACAAAAGTTGACACAATGTAAGACTGGAGGTGATTTGCCCAGCTCTCTCCCTCTCTTTGCATCTTTCTCTTTCACTATTTCCTCTTCTCTTGCTCACTTGTCTTCTTTCAACCTCTCAGCATTTTTGCGCTGCGTTTTCCTCTTCTCACTTTTTTTCCCCCCCTTTGCTCTGCCTCAGTGGGAGGAGGCACTTCATTTTTAATCACCATGGGAGACTGAGTGTACAAGGAAGAAGAGGGGAAGGACGAGGAGGGGGAAGAGAAAGAGCAAGGGGGGTAGTTGAGGAAGAACTGGAGAAGTGTGTTATGAAGTGCAAGAAAAGGAGTTTAAAAGGTTCTCGCCTGCAGAAACATAACTCCAGACACATTAAGCAGCTACAAGAAGGCACTGGAAATCTGTGTGCCTTCCCATTAGCAAAATGCTGTTCATTTGCACCATTGTTTGCTTACTTCATCTTCTCATACGCATCAAATCATCATAACATGAATTGGATTTCTACTACTGTGCTGTAAGCTCTCTTCTTGAACAGAAGCTGATTTCCAAGGAGAGTCTCGGCTGAAGAGAGTAACAGAGCAGGATTTACATTTTAATCCTTGTCCATGAAAGAGGAAGTCAGTATGTGATCTTTGCTGGTTAAGTGTTATCTATTACCAGGGTGCACAAAGGGGTTACAGAAGATTAGGTGACAGAGTAAGCTGCAGATTATTAAGAAAGTCCACATCTACAAGGCCAAATTGCCTAACTGCAATCTGAGCACGCTGGCGAGCTGCTGGGAAAGTTGGAAAACGGTCCCATATGTATGTTAAACTGGGCCTACATCTGTGGCCACAAACAGACACACTGAAGTGGCCATATGTCTGATGTCCCCAAGGGCTTCGTCACAGCTAGATACAATCAATATCATTTATTCACCCACAAAATGTGGTGTTACTTATAGAAACCTGAGGTTATATCCACCACATCTCCCTCCAAGGACAGATTGAGAGAACCACTTAAGCACAACTAATCCACACGATAACTCCTCTTGCTGCTACTACTGCACCCTGACGTTTGGTTCTAGGTTATTCAGAGAGCAAGAATAAAATCTCATTCAATCTCAGCGCACCAGTAGCGCCCTCGGGGGTGATGACTTGAGTCGATCGCCAAATCCTGCTCTAAATGCACATGCTCGGATTCTATTATCCGACCCGTTGGGCCTCATCAATTCTTCACCACACAAAAGGACCACAGTCCCACACTCCCGGTCAAGGTCAAGCACCGCCTATTCTGTTCTGCTCAGAGGCCGACTGGACGTGGTGAACATTTGAGACACGTCCATTCGAGACAGGCAGGACAAAGAAGCCCAGATAACCTGGTCTCATCTAATGGTCAATGACCTATGGGATTTGAAATGTGTTTGAGCCTATCAACATTTGAACTTTGATTCACTCCTGGCAGCGTGGTTAGCCAGTCCAGCTAACAGGTTCCTGTTAAACTGTGTTTCACCCTTTCTCATCACAGTGTCTTCCATTAAAGAGCAGCCAGTGTAAGTAAAGATCACTGACTAAGCCACACTGGCGCTCTGCTAATAGCATCAGATCTGCTTATTTGTGGCAGGCTGACTTTCTGCCAGGCCTTCTCGAGATGATGGACTGCAGCACTCCTACTGTACATAATACATCACCAATTAAAGGTTAATGCTAAACTGTCCGCTGAAGACTAACCTGTCTGCTCCTGCTGCAGGACAAATGTAGAGACAGACAAATGCATGCTAACACACACAACAAGATACATCTTGACTTACATGGGCACTTCTCTACACAGTGAACATAATCATAATAAACTGAAACACACGCCCATAAATGCCACAGTAGATCACAAACAGGCCTTGGGGGGGTTGGTGGAAATGGCTAACCAGATTTTATGCTTCTCTGGTCTGACCTTGGGCAGGCTGAAGTCTCAGGAGTGATGCCTTAGTTAAACCGCCCTTGTCCCTCTAATTGCTCTTGCTAACTGAAGCCTCTAGCTAGCTGAGGCAGAAACAAGGGAGGGATGTGCTTTAGTTCTGTTGAATCAGCTTTGTATGTGCATGCCGTCCGGATCAGGAGGAATGCATGTGCTTCTTTGGTGTTCCTAGGGGAAGCACAGACAACAAGGATTGCTACTGTTTGGACCACAGCTTTGGTATTCTGCCCATGATGCATTTGAGCCTCGTTGTTCTAAACACAGACCTGGAAGTGAAAGTAGTCCCATGTCACAACAAGCAGAAGGCGATGGCTAAGGACAGGAGTGCACATGAAACAGCCAGTTCACTCTTCCAGCGCTCTGTAAAGGTAAGTACATCGCTGATTTGACTGAAATAACTGTCGAGAAGTTCTGTGTCTTCCACAGCTTTAAATCTGTGCCTTAAAGTACAGGCAACATCATGTTACACAGAAGAAACAGATCACTGAGTTAATGACTTATGGTAACTTCTACTTCTAGCAAGGACAAGGTTTAGACATAATTTGAATCCAGTTAACTGCGGTTACAGAAAGCGTAAGTGGGACAAGTCTGTGGGACAGCAGACAACTGAAAACAATAACGCCAGTATTAATGGGGAACCAGTTGAGCGTGTCACTGTATTATGACAGGGGGGAGGGGACAGCGGGTCAACACATGAAGTGCACCACTGCACACACCCACTCACCATCTCTGTACAGGGCTGTTCTCTGCTTCAAGCCCCTGGATCGCACCATATGGACATTTCTCTCATGTATAGCGGTGTCTTTGGCATCATAGGCATGCACAATGTAAACTATTGGATCAATGAATACAAGCATGAATGGAAAAAATATATTATAATATTGCCAGTTTACTAGGTACACCTAGCTAAAACTTATACAACAGACGTGCAATAACTAATATAATATAATGTACACTTTGTTCTGTTTTAAAGCTGTAGATTAATGTTAAGTTAATAGTAAACTGCTAGTTGTGCCCCTAGATAAAAGTGTATTTTAAGAATCTTTGCTGAGACATTAGTCCTTTAATTCTTGCTGTGTTATTAAGGTGATAGATGATTTTGTAAATGTCTGAACATTACAATTCATGAAGGTAGGATTTATTGAAGGGCTTTTGTGTTAGGCTGCATTAATCTTTAGGTGTGTATAAGCTGGCAGCTGAGACTATATATTTAGCCTACAAACAATGTGTGTACCAGTGATAAGCAGCTGTAATAAATAAGATGCTGTCACCATGTTTTTCTTCACACAATGAATCAGTGTATTAACATTATCTCATCTATTCCCCCCCCACATGTCATTAAGGATAACTTGAGCTGCTAAACTAGCATTAGCTACCTAATTAGGCATTCGTAACACATCTGGTCTACACATAAAGCCAGGCCTGCGCCAGGGGACGTTATAAGCTATTCTTTCCCCTGAGGTAATTACAGCTGGATGAATGACAACGTATAACATTAACCTCGTTACAGATGTAAGGTACTGTACAAAACACACTTTTTTTTTCACGTTGAATGTTTGCTCCAGCCGTATAACGGTAGAGCTCTTTATTGTTTTCTCCCCCCCCCCATGTCTCCTCCTCAGCCTCTTGGAAAACATGAGCAGAGCAGCTAGCCTCCAGCAGGCTAACAAGCTAACCGCTAGCCGGCTAACTAGCATGGATACCAAAGGGGCAAACGCGTAGGAAATTCCCGGATATATTTCCGAGTTTAATCGATACATACCCGTACCGAGCCATACCGCGACAGCTGCAGCGGACATGGTGCAAGTCATCCTCGTAAATCTTACATGAAAAGGGATGTTTTATCTAACATTATCGTCACTGGGTTTGACAGCCATGGTAATAAGCATCCACCAGCATTCCTTCCTCCGCCTCCAACAGCACGAACTCCCATTGGCTGAACATCTGGATGGAAAAAGATGGTTGTCTAGTGAAAAGAAAGCGCAAAAATAGGATGTGAATCAGAAGAAGAGGGATACGCCTTCAGCAGATGTTTCTATAGGATGTTGTTCGGGTTAAATGGGAGTTTAATGGATATTAAACACAAGGAGTGGCTTCTGTATTTTATTTTGACCCGTCTTCTTGTGATGTAGGACAGCATGGGGATGTCATTTCATTGTCACTGTGTAATTCTCTTAAAGCCATTTTTGATTGTTTGCCAAATCCCACTGTTTTGTGGCTTCTCTGATCTATGACTTTGATGATTTCCAGAAAATGAGCAGAAAATTAGGATCAGGACTTGTGAAGGCAGACACACCCTCTTCCTCACATGCACATAAACACACACCATCCCCTCACCCGGGCTTGACCTCCTAAGTCCAGCTGTAACAGGGCACATGCATGTTTGAGAAGTCTGCTCCAATCTGTCCAGACCCCCTGCAGAGACAGTCCTAGCTGACAGATGGTCATGTTTTGGCCCCTTGGCTCCAAGTCAGGCCAGCTATAGGGCTGTGGGACCCTTAATTCACCCTTCATGCCCCCTTGATGTCAGTCACCACTAAGAGAGCACTTTGATCGTGCAGAAAATGACCCTAATGCTGCTCAACATGCTGACAGTTGGTCACTGCGTGGTTCTTGTTTGATAAAGGCATATTTGAGTCTGGATTCATGGCTTCCTCTGTGGTGATAAACACGATGCAATCCATCCTCTGTGCTCTGCAGTGTGAGGCTGTTCTGTTCTCTCACCCTCCCTTTTATCCCCTTAAGATTATTTTTAGGTTGCTTAGCAACATCTTCACATAGCCAGTGTTTAGACTGGATATGAATGTATCATAACAATCACCATAGGTCAATGCCAAGATACATAATGGAGACTAGAGCGTTTTCAATTTGGCAAGAGGCTAAGATGGCAACCAAATGAATCTAATTTAAGGCTGATTGGGAATGATTTGAGTCCAATTCTGTTTGAGCATTGTGTGCATTAAGTTTCAGTTTACACTGCATTGCTAATTGTCCTGAATTTGCTTGTTATGAGCAGTGGGGCAAGATGCAACATTCCCATTCTCCTCAGCAGTGAGGGCTGTTTCTAAATAAACGACAAACTGTAGCCCATCTGTTTCTTAGCAGATACAATAGACCTCAACTTTCATATAATATTTTACTTTCTAACTTCAAGATGCTGGCACAGGAAAAAAAAAATGTAAGGGTTGCTAAGTAAAAATGGAACAACAGTAACCTACTAGTAAAAGTAGAATTAATATGCAAACCCGTCCTGCTGTAAGTGAGCTCAGTATGGACGGAAATGGTTACATAATGATGTAAATCGCATATTTTGGCAGAGGGAGATTTGTATTATGGGATTTGAGAAGGTGACAAATAAATTTCAAATGTCAAATCATTCAAATGTATGCAGCATATGCATGCTTCAGTCTGATGAATCACACTTGAATGAAACATACTCAAACTTTGAGTAAAAATGTAATTCATAACTTGTAGTTTTGTGCTTACGAAATATTTATAGTCATGTATTCCAATACGTCCAAATTAATTATGTAACTCAGTGCTGTTTGTTAAAAATAATCACATATTCGGATGTTGACAAAGCTTCCTTTCTAGTGCTTTATCACATGAATTCAGTCCCGTGTTTTAGGCTGTTTCTGATGACTCCAGTGTGACCCAAGAGGCTAGGATTTATGCCCTCTGATCTTCTTTAATATAAGACTGTTAAAATATGAATGTCCATTGGGTACAGAGACAGCAAACTTTAGAAACCATATAGCCTTTTAAAATATGCATTAAGCCATTTTGAGTTTGTTTGGTGGGTTCAGTAGCCAACATTAATATTGGGGGGAAACCATGAAAACATTCCTCACCCTACAGACTGAATTAATAGCCATTCATGCACCTGTATGTAAATTGATAAGATGGATGAATAAGTGTGTGCTGTAATAAATTACCCCTTATTTCTCTCAGCAGGCTGACTTTTTGTGAGTGAATTAAAAGAGAAATCAAACTCCTATAAACTCAATTTAGGTCCCCTGGTGGTCCTCACACCATGTGTTGAGAAACCCTAATTTGAACACCCATCACACAGCCTGGGCTGGTGGTCTCTGACCCTTTTCTACCCCACCCAAACCCCACAGATGAACAATAAGCAGCCAGTGGGAAGTTACAGTTGCTGTGTGCTGGTATTTATGCCTGATACTGCAGCTCGCTGAAACCCCCTCCGTGCGGCAGATTATCGGACCAAACCATTGCCGCACTTCAGGTTCCAGCACCTGTCACATGAGGTTTTAAACGAGCAAAATCTCCGGCTGTCTTTACAGCTGAATGTGTTTACTTTACCGGCGCTGCGGACTCACATCTCACGCAGCAGTCCCGCAAACGCAGCCCCGGTGCAGCTCTCAGTGAGATGAGCTGCCAAGCTGCACCGACACCCCTACAGTGCGACTGGCAGCAGCATCATCCACTGCCTGCAATGGCGTTGTAGCGGCTCCGGTGTGTCCCAAAAAAAAAAAACGTTTCTGTAGCGGCGAATCCGCCCCGGACTATTTACCCAGCGTGGAATAGACATGTTTTCATCGAAATATTTTGCAACGAGAGCGTCCATATTCTGCCCTCTGGATTACAGTTTTATCACGCGTTAAAAAAACGAAGCCGGAGCCATGAATGTAAGTCTGACTCTTTTGTTTTTGTAACATTGGAGCAACATCGCTGTGGTTCGTGGTCAACAGTTAACTTACTCTTTTGGTTAATCATAGAAAAAAAAAGGTCAGTCTTGTATATGTTCAACCCTGCATGAATCTGCACAGGAGTAAAAAAAAAAAAAAAAAAGCAGCGAATAAATGAATGTTTACCAGTGTCAGATAAGGAGGAGGGGGGGGCTGAGCTGTCATGTTGTGTGCGGTGTGGCTGATGTGCAGCTCTCTGTCTGTTTGTCTGATCCCACTGACACAATGTTAAAGCCTCAGTTTCATCTTTCATCTTTCACCTCTTAACTTTATTTTTTCCTCCGTGCAATATCCTCCGAAGCGGCACAGGATGTCCCTCAAGTTCAAACGGATGGTTTTTTTTTTCTTGCACAAGGATTTCAAGGATTATGATGGGCCAGCAATAGTCCAGCATGGTGAATCATGAATATTGAACCAGGACATTTAGGTTTCAGCCACTGCTACTGCTGCTGCTGCTGCTGCTGCTGGTGGTGGTGCATCCACCATCCAGGCTGTGGATTTCAGCACAACTTAGATTAATGGATTCTCTGTGTCCCAGTGAATGTTTTTTTTTTTTTTTTTTTGTATCTCAGCTTTATTGTGCAATATTTCATCTCCCTCTTTGTGGAATGCATTTCCAAACATGATTAAAAATTAATGGCTGTAGGTATGGAATATCTAATTCAATACTTGCCTGCACTAACCCACTATTATTGAGATGGTGCGCAAAGGCATAATCTCAACATTGAAACTGTAAGTGTTTCAGTTCATTAAATCTTTTCTATTTTTGTCCCAGGGATGGTATCAACTTTTCTTCTTCTTTTTTTTTTGGTGCATTCAACAGCATTTCTCTGTACATTAGAGGTTGTAACCACCATGCAGTGCTTTGTTTGAGAGCTGGCATTTGGTAGGAACCACCATAATGTCGGTGATGGTTTAGTGATGGTTTATAGCTGTGGGATGTGGCAGCGTGCAAGGGTCAGAGCTTACTATATAAAAGCAGAAGGAGTGGGAGAGAGTAAAGATAAGAACCGAAGGCGAAAGAAAACAGCAATATTTCCAACAGCACCAATTTAAACATAAGGAGCTCAAATCTTTACACTGATGTCTACAGTAAGTATTGATTTGAGAAGGTAAACAGTGCAGCAATGCTGAAAAGACAACATCAGCAGAGGGCTTTCAGAGGCTTTCATAACTAGTTCTCGTACTAAGAGCTTTTATGTCATGCATCAGCATCTGTAATTCATTTGGCCCCATGTTTCTGAATAGTGTTATTGATGAAAGGGGAAAATAGTAATCAATTGAACTCACATAATCAGGCAGTGTTACAAAATGTTTCTATATTCATAATGTCTCTCTTCATCTCTGCAGGTGTGAATGGGCCTGAAGGAACTATAACATCAGCTGGATCAGATTATTCAGCGCTGCAGTAGGTCAAACTAGACTCCTCACTCCCACATTCTAATGAGGCCACGGCGATGCTGACATCCCCTCTGAATCCAAAGACATCATCATGCTGAAGACGGAGGCCTCGGGGGAGAGGACCAGCCTCCGGAGTGCCTCCCCCCACCGTAATGCCTACCGGGCTGAGTTTCAGGCACTCAAAAAGGCCTTTGACCAGCCTCGGATTGATGGAGACTCCAAGCCCAAAGACCTCGAACGGGTGAAACAACCGAGGGGCCGCCAATATGGCAGCCATGTTAGTCGCATTAAGGACATGTTCATGCAGATGGGCTCTGAAAATACCTCAGCTAAGGCCAAGGGTTGTGATGATACCTCGCCGCAAAAGCTGGTCAAGCCCACTAACTTCATCAACAAGGCTGATGGATCAGTGATAAAACTCCAGCATTCCTCATCAACTGACAGGATTGGAGGTGCTGGAGCAAAGTTCTCTGAAACCAGGAAGCTGTTTGAGCAGCAGTCACGTGACCAGTCCCAATCACCAGTCTTTCCGTACGGACGGGATAAAAGAGGTTCCCATGAGCACCTCGATGACTGGCGAGGTGCACGGTCTAATAGAGGCAGTACAGACTCTTTGGACTCGCTTTGCTCCAGAACAGAGGCGTCCTCGCCAACTGTCAGTCAACTCAGTGCTGTTTTTGAAAACGCAGACCACAACAACCAAGGTGCGGCCTACAGAGGAGTTAGCAGACGGGCCCTCTACTCACCAGACGGATTCCAACGCCACGGAGGGGACCTCAGCGAGGATGACTCACGACAATCTCCAGTTCGTGGAAACAACCGGAGCAAGATAGGGGAAAAGTTTCCCACATCCTCGTCTTCTGAGGACCTTCTAAGCCCCAGTCCTGGGACAGAGACTTCGGAGCTGAAACCCTTACAACAAGGGGAGGAAGCCCAAGACAAAGCTGAAACTACGGGTGGAGATAGACGGTGTCTTCCTGGGGTCACCACCAATGGAAGCCAGGTTAATGGTTCTTATGTAGAAGAAGAGAAACGTTCAGAAACAAGAAAATATAGTGAGGATCTAGGGGTGTCCAAAGATGACAAAGCTTTTGAGGATGCAACCCCTGAGCCATTGCCGACCCCAACTACACCAGCTGGGGTCAGCCAGGAGGATGTTGATGGTTCAAGAGAAGATAAGCAATCTGAATCTCCCAAGGACCAGGTGGAAGAACCTGATGAGGAATACACTGGGAATGAGCGGGTGATTTTTAACGCAGATGGGGATGCCTGTTACCAGGGTTGGGGGGAAAGCTGCACAGATCCTGAGGATGACCTCTACGGAGACGATGAGGACATTGTCTACGACCCAGGCTCTGACCTGACAGAGATTCCTGGTCTACCACAAGAAAACAAAGAGGACATCCCTCCAAAGAGGAAGATTCGCTTCAGCACTTCTCCCATTACAGTAAGTTGGGCTGCTGAACAAAACTCTTGTGGAAGCCTTAATTGTGTAAACACAATGAACACAATCCAACATAAAAGCCCTTGTGCAGCTTTTATCAAAAGTAGGTTAAAACAACAGAGAGCTAATATTGTATTCAGAGCTTCCTTTTTTATGGGCTTGTATTTATAGTTACTGTTGAACTACTCATCTGTGTTACCGGTAGCTTTGTTGTTTTCACATCCATTTTTATGGGGTCATATGATCATGATTAAGTGGTCTGACTTCACTAATCTTTGTATCCCCGTAAGACCTTTTATCGCGTGGTTTTATTTCACATTTTCTTCCTTTTAATATGGCTATACGGTTGATAATAGTAAATTATCATATATTGTAGCTGTTGCTCTCTGATAGCAGGGGTTGTAGCTATTTTGCGATGCAGAGCTTGAGGGTCAACGCATCGCCCTCTGGGAAATTGACGTGTTCATGAGCAGAACATCTGTGCATGTGTTAGTCATGCTGGTTCTGCACCCACGCAGTTTCGCACAAGATATTGTGTTTGTGTTTGACAAAAAAACAGCCCCATCTCAGGGTTTTAAATGAAGAGGCTATTTGTTGCGCTATTTGATGAGGATATTTTCTAAATTCCAGTGTGAAAGATACTGTATATACAGAATATAGTGGACCTATGGCGTGTGTCCAGTGTGTAAGCTTATTGTGTCCATTATGCACAGTGATATCAGCAGACTTATGGCTAGAGATTACATGCATTTCTATCATTCATCCCACAGGGATTACAACACATTAGGGTTTTACATATGTAGAAGGGTCATTGGTTCTGGTGAAAATGCAGCCACAAAGTTTCACGTCCCTGGTAACAAGCCATTTCTTCTTTTTTTTTATTAATAGAAATAGCTTTACCATAGTATTTGTTGCATCATATCCCTTAAATCCGAGTTAGACACAATGCAACCAGTGTTGTTTGTGGATGGATTATGAAGATTATGGGAAATATTTTTCAGTCTTTATCCTCAAGTATTTAGATTCAATAAGCTTACCATGTTTCACTGTAAAAACCTATTTTAAGTTGCCCTTTTCCTTTTTATCCTTTTTATTTCATTTTTGGGTGAAATCTATTTTTGTCTTTGAGATTTTCAGCCTGTTGAAATACAAGCAAAGTGTTTGCAAGTGTGTGTACAGATAACATTTGAGGGCAACACAGTGGTGATTGAGCGAGTTAGGTTTGTGTATGAAAGATTTGGATCTAACACAAACATTCCACAGGTTGTGGATCAATCCTATTAACATGCTGTAACGAACCAGAACAATTAGCCCAGTTATTCTGAGGAGAAAACGTGATGTTGGCTCACTAATTACCCTGCACTGTCTCTGCAATGTGTGTCCTTCTGCTTCTTTCTCTTTTCTTCCCTCTCAGGATTCCCCACACGTGCTTGAAAACACTCAAAATCGCAAGCAAACATTTCCACAAGGATGCAAATTCTTGCCTTATGTGACTTAAACATAGCTTCAAGTGTAATATCATTGTCTGTTTTCAGTGAAAACATCTACAAAACCTGTTTGATCATTTCTTGATATCAATTTAGCAAATGTTATTTTCATTGTGCAGTGAAGGGGAGCACTACAAAGATGTTGTCCCATTTAGGTCGAACAGGCGGGGAATATGCTCCTCCGTTGTGGTCTGTCGTTTCAAGGCTTCTGTTTTCTATGAAAAGGGCCAACGCTCGTTCATCATATGGAATATTCAAAAGAGGCACTGCCCCCTCTTTACACAGATGCACGAGCACAATTAGATATGCACCCCTCCCACTTCTCCATCATACGCGCCCCTCCTCTCTGCCCACGAGGAACAAACAGGGTTCTGTCTTTTGTTCGTCTATATAGTGAAAGAGACAAAGCTATTTTCTCAGCCCTCTGCCCCGCACGAGTCCAACTTGACCCCTGTGGGAGGAGACAGCAGAGAAAGACCTTGGAAAAAAAAACCTGCTCTTGTAATCTAATACTTAATGTTCCCTCCCCTTCGTGTAATATTTCTTAGTCCTGTCCCGTAAAGCGGATGAATAATTTCAACATCCCAGCTTTGAAGGTTTAATTAATTGAGAAATCATCATGGCAGCCACAGGGAGAAGATGACACACAGCCAGCTTTTGGTAACATTTTGTAAACATGCTTACTGCTTTATGTTTAAGAAGACGAATAACAGATCCAGTTGCTCAAAGAAAACTATTATTGTGTTGACTTCACTAGTGTTGCGTTTATAAATCTAGCCTTTAGCCATGCCATGCAAGGGTCTGTGGATCTGTCGGTCTGGTGGTCCACCACTGCTGAATGAATTATCTCAACAACTATTGGATGGATTGTCTGTACGGTTTAATTTTGGCTGGTGATCCCCTGACTTTTCAGCGCCACCTTGAGGTTGACAATGGTGGCTTGTAGTGAAATATCTTGACAACTACACGATGGATTCCCATGAAATTTGCTACATCCATTCATGGTTCCCAGGAGATAAATCCCTCTCACATTGGTGATTACCAGCGCCACCCGCAGGTCACAGTTCTCACTTATTGTTCTATCTTCCAGACGGATTGGCTCAAAATGTTGTATAGGTACCGTGGCTCCCAGACAACTAATCCTAATGACCGCCTGTCTTTCCTCTAGCGCTGCCATGAGGTTCACCCTTGCAGCTGTGATTGAGAATGTCTAAACAACTGTAACAGCTTGTGTAGATTGCCATAAAACTTTGTTCAGATATTCATGCTCGCCTCAGGATATACTGTAATAACTTTGGTGATCCCCTGACTTTTCATCAAGCGCCATCATCAGGCCAAATTTCTCTGTTGTGAGCAAACACCTGCTAAACTAATGACATTCCCATCAGCCTCAGCTGTATATTGCTAATTAGCAAATGTTAGCATGCCAACATGCAAAACCAAGATAAGGCTGATCTTAGCATTTAGCTCAAAGCACAGGTGGGCCCATAGTAAGTAAAACCTCACAGAGCCGCTACCGTGGCTGTAAAACTCTGAGTTGCTAGCACACAGGGTTTTTTTTTATTTTTATTAATGGTTACTTCCACATCCTTTCACTTTAGTTGTAACATCCTGACTGGCCTAGTGCGAAGTGACTGCTTTGAGCTGCCCAAGGCAAAGACAGCCTTCCCTCCCTGAGGCACTGACCTACAGAAGAGAATCAGAGCTCATGTTCATTCAAGCAACTGGTTTCATCCTTGCCATTAGTACTTCCAGTTTGGGTGTTCAGTCTGAGCCATATAGACTGCTGTAGTGATAGATTCAGTCTTCAATCGCACTTTTGTTGTCCTGTTGTTGAAGTATGTTCTGTGCAGCTGGTATGACACTGAGAATACAATGTTTGATCTGAAGGTATCGCACACATCTCCGCCGGTGTTTAGTTCCCCTGGTGTGGTTTTCTCATGGTTTTAAAATGTTCAGCTTTGATCGCAAACAAATCCCAAAAGCTTTTAACCATCTCACACTTGTTACAGATTTCTTTCCTTGCAGTTTGTTTTCTTTCTGTCTTTGTTGAACCGCACCCCAGGAGTTTGACAGAAGAAGTCTTCTCCCTCTGCATGCAGTCTGCTGTGTCAGTCTCCTCTTGTTTTCCCCCTGTCCCTCTGTACGTGAATGGCATTTATATCATCTTTTTAATGATGATTTTTGTGCCTGTAGAGCAACTGCATTTTCATCAGTCAAGACACAGTGATATCTTAATGGAATTAAGCAGATGTGATGAGTGGAGCACCGTTTAAATGGCCACTGAAGTGGCTTCATAATCAGCCCCTCCACTCTGCATGATGTCTGTTACTGGATCAAAGAGACTGGCATTTTCTCCATTAGGTTCCGCTGCTGCATCGTTAGTGGAATGCTGAGTAGCATGGATCTGAGCTCAGAGACATAATCAATATGATAGATGTGTGTCGCTCCTCTTCTTTGTGGCAATGGTTTTTTGAGCTGCAAGACTTTGTGCCTTTTATTTCTTTTACTAGATGTTTTTACTGGTGTGTTGTTCTGCAACTTAGGAGGGATGGTTGTGTGGAGATTTTGTTTCATGAGTCATTCATGTAACTCATTTGCCTCAGACCAGGGACGGGGTCAGAGCTGTGGCAAGGGGTGGCATGGGTCCCCAGGAATCTGATTGGCCATTGCTAGTCTCCCCCCTCTAGAGTCAAAAGGTGATGGGTTGGTAGTTGGGTTGTTGATATTATGAATGGATTATTGAACGTGCATAGTGGGTACTGGCCCAGAGCTTCTGGATAAACAAATGTTTACATTTCTTTCTTTCAGAGACACAAAAAAACCACATAGACAATGGCAATAAAACCAAGTCTTTCTGTTTCATAATCTGTCCATTGCTGTCGGCTATTTAGAGTAGAACCAGTAGAAGATATTTATTAATATTATTCCATATCAAAATATTTGAAGTTGATTATTTTGCATTCATTTATTAAACTGAATAAACAACAATTACTAATGCAAAGTGCATTATTGCTAAGAACCAGGGATTTAAATTTGAGTCTTTACACATTTTACTGTGTCCCCAATTTAGACCCCCAAATCAAAAGTTTCCTGCCTCAGACTGATATCTCTATGCTAGCAGATTAGATCACCCTGCAAACACTTGGTTTCAAATACAACCTACACACATTCCTTTCCTTGTACTTTTGCCGTAATGCGAATTTGCATCTCGGGCTGCAGTACATCAAACCAATTCAGAGACTCATCTTGTACTTTGGTGGAGCGTGAAAGAACCTAAAGACAAACTTGCTGAGGCTTAGAAACAGAGAAAATGCCAACTAGCACCCTCCCAGTGTCGGGCATTTAGAGACAGGCATTTATTTTGAACATGTGGGAGCTCATTTGACTGCCCTTAATACAGTACATGACAACAGAGACTCTTGAGTTTTTTTGTCAGAATGTAACTTCTGGCCTCTCCTGCCTACTGTAGCTACATTACTGTTCAAATCCAACAATGTTGTTACATAGATGCAT